CCAGGGATGGGGCAGCCACAGCTTCTCTGGGCAACCTGGTCCAGTGCCTCACCACCCTCACAGTGAAGAATTTCTTCGTTAGATCTAATTTAAATCTGCCCTCTTTCAGTTTAAAACCATTGCCCTGTGTCCTGTCACTACACACCCTTGTCCAAAGCCCCTCTCCAGCTTTCCTGTAGCCCCTTTAGGTACTAGGAGGCTGCTAAAAGGAGGATGTATCCATGGAGAAGACACTATGCAGGGCAAATTTATCACAGGTGTGAGAAGGAAAGACAACAAGATGCCTTAAATACTCTGGGAAAACAAGACACTATAGGTCTGTGGTTTGAAGCCAATTCAGGTGCCAAACACAGAGCCTTTCAGCACCTGGATCACGTCTATGAAGCAACCTCTGGAGACAGTTTGCCTTCAGCTAGCTGCAAGCCCTCGGAAGGCAAGGCCATAGCAGGTGGTCTATATTGCAGGTGTCCCACCTGGGTTCTGATGGCTGTGAAGAAAGAGGCATTCAATAAGGAGCTGGCAGGAGCATCACCACCCCCTTCCCTCCCCTTTCTCTTGAGAGTTCAGTTCAAACTGAGACGCTCACCCTTGGTCCCTGCCTGAGCTACGCTGCCACTGTGCCCGTGCCTGGCTGTGTACCCTGCTGAGCAGGATCTGGACTCCCACCAGACTTCCCAGCTTGGCCTTGGACCTGCCTCATCACCACAGACTTGCCAAGCAGTCAGGATTCCCACTTCAACAAACCTCCATCCACTTCCATATACACAAAGCCCTGGTCTCCCCTCCCTTGGACAGCTGGTGGCTGTGCCTGGGACCCAGCAGTGGTGCCCTCCATGGCCCGCATACAAGAGTCAGACACCTGCAGGACCTGCTAGGGCACTGTCATTCTCAGTAGGCAACGCCTGGTGTTCTACTGCAAAGCTGGAGTAGAGAAGGGTGGGGATGACTCTACAGTCACCAGCTGGACCCTTCCCTGGTCAGAGACCCAGTCCGAGAACCACCAAGGCCCCAGGTGGTCAACGGCACTCAGGGCTCCTCCAAGAGATCTGCCATGTCACTGATGCTCTCTGTGATACCCACTCACCCAACCAGCTTGTTCTGCCCCCTTAACGTTTCTATTTTCTAAGAGGAATTTCTTATACGTCCATGAGGAGTCGGGTCTTTGTTCTGCTTCTGGAAGGTGCCTTGGGAGAAATGCGGTACACTCAAAGGAAGGCAAGGCTCCTCGTCACCCACCACAGCCATCACCTGAGCTGCTTTGAGACCTGCAGAGAGCTGGTTTGCCAGGTGGCTCTTTGTGGATGTGGAGGAGCACTCCCAAAGTGCTGTTGGTAGGATATACAATCATAGAATCACAGAATCATTTAGGTTGGAAAAGACCTTTAAGATCATCTAGTCCAGCACTCTCAAGTCCACCACTAAACCGTGTCCCTGAGCACCACGTCTACATATCTTTTCAATACCTCCAGGGATGGTGACTCAACACCTTCCCTGGGCAGCCTGTTCCAATGCTTGACAACCTTTTTGGTGAAGAAATTTTTCCAAATATCCAACCTAAACTTCCCCTGGCACAACTAGAGGCCATTTCCTCTTGTCCTATCACTTGTTCCTTGGGAGAAGAGAGCAACACCCACCTCGCTACAACCACTCCCACCAACTGGGGCTGTAGGACCCTCTCATGCTGACCCAGGGGCTGTGGGACCTCTCCCACACACGTGTCAGTCTGGGACATCCTGCTCTCATCTGAAATAGGTCTGTTATTGCCACTCGAGACAGAGCTGCTGAAGCTGAAAACTTCATGCTGGGATAAACCAGAATTAACACCCTGTTCCTGC